TCCTGGCCTTGCTACTAGGAGCAAGGACGCTACTAGGGGCTCCTGGCATCGCTACTAGTAACAAGAAGCTACTATAAACAACATGTCAAATACCTTTCCGCACCCACGTGGCCATCTGAATTTGGAGGTAGGCCGCTGGTATAGGTAAGCTAGTAGCTCAAGTTAGCTCCACATAACTGGAAACAGATGCTTCTTTGAAGAAGCGCTCGGACTAATCATTTGGTTCCTATTGCGAAACTTAATACAGTGATCAAGTGAAAGTAGGCAACCTAACTCGACAGTCTCCTGGGATCACCGACCACAATGAGACCACAGCGAGCTCGGGTCAAAAGTACCTCGTTTCATGTCAAAGAAGCATGAACGTCTCGAAACAACCCCGCAACAAAAAAAAATATAGTCTATACAATGTACATATATATCCAACATATACATACATACATTATATACTTATATACACATATAATAGCATATCATATATATATATATGCTGAGCGCCGTAAAAAAGGTGGAGCAGCTGTGCTGTTCGATCGCCTGAATTCTGAGCTTCAAACGTTCACCCGGCGCCTGTCGCTCAAAAAGCCCACAACCTCAAGATCTCAAAATCTCACACATGCACCTAATAATCTAATAGCAATGGCCTCCGACCTAATAGCGATGGCCTCCAACTTAATGGCGATCGATGGCCTGGAACCTAATAACGATGGCCTCAAAATCTAAAATATCTCAGTTTCAAGCCTTTCTAGGGACTGGGAAAACTAGGTACGCGACCCCAGCAGGATTTGATCTTGTAGCAGAGAAAATCAAGAAATCGCATTCACCCCCTTGCAAAGCATCAATTGTGGACACCTGCGCAACCGGTGCCAGGCTTGTTCTCACACACTCTGACGGTCGGCGCTGTGCCTGGAGTCGATGATCTGGCGGCAAATCTGCCAAACGCCTCTCCGGATCTGATTCAAAAGGAGAACGCCATTAGGGGCTACTAGGGCGCTCCTGGCCTTACTAGGAACAAGAAGCTACTAGGAACAAAGGGCATCGCTACTAGGAGATAGGACGCAAATTCACAGCCAATTCAACCAATACCCCAATGCTCGGCTTGATCTCTGGTGTCCGCCATGCCTCTCCAGAAGTGCTCGTTGTGCTCGGTAAGGTGCGACCAAAAGGATGGACTGCAAAGATTCAGGAAATCACTCACAACAAGAAGCTACTATAGGGGCTCCTGGCATCGCTACTAGGAGCATGGACGCTACTAGGGGCTCCTGGCCGTACTACTAGGAACAAGAAGCTACTAGGGGCTCCTGGCCGTACTACTAGGATTGACACATCAATGCCCACAATCTTTGGACAAAACAACGTGCAAGACGCCCACCTTTCTGTAGTGTTAAGCGGTACCTATTGGACCAAGAACCATGGCATGGCTTGCCTCAAAATCCGCCAACTCAGGAAGGAGACTCATCACAATATCGGCCTTGAGGGTGGAACCAACAGACAGAGATGACGCTTGATGATATATAATATATAGTTTAAATTAGTTTGCTATTAGGTTGGAGGCCATTGCTATTAGGAACAAAGAAAATAGAAAAGGAAGAAAGGTCTAATAGCAGACCTACTTCCCTGTTGACTCTCAAAAGAGACCCCCACTACCTTTCCCTTACGAACCAAATGTGACATGCGACGTGAAATCAACTCTTCTCCGTAAACTCTTCTGAACATGGATGTGGCCTCCGTCGGATTGCAAAAGGACGAGCCCACGCTTTGCTCGCGGCTGTGTACGCCTGACTCGCCACACCAAATCTTGAGACAAGGAAAAGTGCATAAAGACATTGCTTGCTTTACACGGAGAAGTACTTCACCAAGTCTTCCGACCAAACATATGACCAGGAACCAACAAGAGCAGAATCACCTCGGAATTCGATTGCGGAGCGCCCTGGAGCGCTGGCAGCGCTGGCAGCGGCAGCTGACCGGAGCTGACCACCATAGAACGCTGCTGCAGGAAATTCGCAAAGCGTGGGATGCATTCGAAACCTTTGAGCAACTCGTTTCCACACAGTCGAACAAATCAAGAAACTTGTATCTGTTTGAGAAACACGTTGTTTGAAGAAACACAGAGCATTTTGTATGGTGTCAAGGCTCTGTGTATCCAACAGCATTGGCTGTTGTTGTCCAGACAAACGATCGAATAGGGTTGTGGAAAGACCCCAGCGAATCGCCTTCAATGAAAGCACCTCACACGGGACGAAAGGACATCCATAAGGCGTCCGTGATTGAACAAAAAAATGAAATGAGTAATACAATGTATCTATACATTGACATAACAATTACAATTCCATTGATGTGTTTTCTTGATACACATTAAAAAAGAAAGCGAAGCGGCGAAGCTCAAGCATGTGTGTTTTTGTTAGCCCGCTCCTAATCACTTAATTAAGTAAAGGAGTAAGCTTAGACGACTGGATATATAGCTTCGAGTAACTGGACGCAGGATAGCTCCCCCTTCTTCAAGGAAGCTTTTTCTTCGAAATCGAAATGGATTCGATCAGGCACCGTCGGTGGCAATTGCTGAGGATCTCCCAGCAGGACCAGCTGCTCAGCTGCGCTTCTGGATTTCGGCTAAAACGCTCAAGAAGGAAAAGAAAGGAAGAGAAAGGCAAAAGTCTATATAAATTGTCGAAGAAAACACAAAAGAAAATCTCACCTACTGAAGCTGGAACTCAATCCCTATCCGGACACAGTGCAGGTATGAATTCTAGCTGGAAGAGCATTTTGTTTGGAATCCCGGCGTCAAACCTGTGACGACCCCGCTGTAGAAATCGACGATCGGGTGACTCTCCTGCAGATCGGGATCAAAGCGGCAGGTTCCGTTGCTTGCGTGGCTTCATCAATGAGCAGCCACCGAAAGCCCACAGAGCTCAGCAAATCGTGACCTGCCATCACAAGGCAATCCAATTCTCAGCCATTAAAGTTATCAAATCTTATCCATGCTTCCTTTCCAACAGGGTGAGACAGTGTAATCATGTGCAAACTGCCAGCCTGCACCAGTGCATGTGGCCACTACGACTCGAGCTGCCTGAAGCTGGCGTTGAAGCTCAGACCACGGCACATCACCTGCGTCACACGTCGTTGAGAATCTCTGTCTCCAGGAGTGGTGTTCTGCTTTGGTCGTTTCTGCTTTAGCTCTGACACAAATCCAGGAGTCTCCTGTCCATCGCATGTGCATCACAGGTAAACCCTGCAGCGCATCCACCAAGCGCTTTGCAGCCACATGTGACTCAGCAGTGCAAAGCGCGCGCCCTGCAGGGCGTTTGATCAACAGAATGTCAACGTTCATCTCCCTCACTCCTTCCCTCTCTCTCAGCATCACTCGTTGGATCCATCGTCTGCCTTCGTGATGTTTGATCCACTCAGACACCATGGCGGCAGCAGTGCTCGTCTTGCCTGTCCCCGGTGGACCTCACGAGTGTGCCCTGAAGAAAGCAACACAGTATTGAGGCATGGTGGCGTCAATGTCAAGAGTTTGGCAACAGCAAAGGAACCAAGTTGGGCAAAGACATTCTTAAAATGTCTTTAATAATAAAGCTTGAGTTGATATTACAAATGGTTTCCTCGAGTTATATAAGTTTAAATACAAGAGCTTGCATCCCAAACATTTGTTAGATAGCAAACAAATGCAAACAGCATATTCTTCAGGCCAGCGACCATGTACCAGCAAGAGCCGCTGCCTCTGGCCCGCCGCAATGACCTCACACTGAGGCTTGGTCCACTTGCTCCATTTACCTGAAGATTTGGAGGCACTGACTGAGAATGACTTTTACAGGTATTATATGTTGCTTTTAAGTCAAAAACAAATGATCTAATCTGCACACAAACGACACATACCACAATATCGATATGTACACGTGGCATCTCTTCTAGCACAAACAAGCGGTTCCAAGCTACCCTCATTTGCTTGTATTGGCTGTGAAAGCAAGACTTTGTCGGCGAGCTGACCTCCCAAGAAAGCGATTCAGCCCACTAGGAAATCGGTTGCCTGATTGGCAAAGTGGCAAGGTACATCAAGGAACACCATGGCTCAAGATAAACCCAGTGAAAGCAAGAAAAACATTCAAAGTAACGATACCAACATGTGGTGTCTTTCCCACACTTTCTTGGTTTCCTCACAATGTGTCATCTCATATTCTCTCCGTTGCCTTCAGATCCTCCAGGTCGAATCAACCCACACAACGGACCAGACCAGCAAGGGACTTCGCGGCAAAGTCCACCTTGTGAAACTGCAACTTGACGTTTTTGATGGAAAACGCTTCAATCGGCTAAAGGTCGCGCAGAAAAAAACACAAAGAAGCTACTAGTAACAAGGGCATCGCTACTAGGAGCAAGGACGCTACTAGGGGCTCCTGGCCTTACTACTAGGAACAAGAAGCTACTAGGAACAAGTGCATCGCTTCTAGTAACAAGTGCCTTATTAGTAGTAACAAGGACGCTACTAGTAAACCCTTTGGTCTTCTCAGTTCCCCGGCGTAACGCCAGGACTGCGCGTTCGCCCGGCACGGCCAAGGCCACTCCGAAAAGCAGCGCCGCGACTCGCCGGGAAGAAGAAGAACGTGAATGGCGTTGGTTCGCTCCACCTTCTTCGTCCTAAGTTGGAAATGGTTGAACATGGTTGAACTATCTATAACAACTCAGACGCTAACAGCTCTCCCTCCCACCACCCAATTGTTTTAAACGAACAGTGTTGCATGCTATGCTACCCCGTAGAGTGTGCTGCTATTGACTCAGTGCCATGCCAGCGCAACACTTTCATGTGGCCATTGATGGATACCAGAATTAAAGGTAGCATGGAGCACTCAGAGAAACTAAAGGCATGAATGAGACACCAAAGCACTGCCCAATTGAGTCAAGGCAGACAAACAAATAATGAACACCACAGGGTGAGCTGTGGGTGGACGAAAAAAACCACTAAGACTTCCTGACTTCCCTGCCCACCCTCCATGTCGCATCAAATGGTTGAATCCAACTTGCAGTTCTTGCAGAAGGCAACTTTTTTTGAACCGTGTTGAGAGCCACATTACCCCATCACGAACGTCGGGCGACAGGCGAGTGTTATCACCTTTTTGCCCCAAAAGATATCCTTGAAAATTGCATCAGCCAGTGCTTTGTTCATCTGCGACGTCTCATGCGCAGTCTGCTTCAATTAAAATGGTCCACTCGGTTCACGACCCAGCGCATGTGAGCGCCATGAACTCCAAGGAATTGCAAGCTGCGCCCTTATCGTATCATCCTTCAACAGCGGACGTGGTACATATGAGGTCTCACCAGACGGCATCACCGACCGCTTGGGACTGTCGGGCTCCATCAATCCCTGAAGCCTCCTTTCAACCGCCTTGGGCCCCCATCGCCTCGACACTCAGCATTAGTGGTTGCCAAGACGCCTTGCACGCTGATGCGCAAGATTCTTTTTCATCACTGTGTGTTCCGCACCAAGACCGGACCCGTAAGCCACTTCTTGATACCTGCCGGTCCTCGTAATCCTCGTAGTGTTCCGTTGGCTTTGCCTTGCCATCCATCTCGGAACCTGCAACCGCTGACGCTTGTGATGCCAGAAGCCTTGTAGAGTCGTGAACTGATCGACCAGGACTCAAAGCTTGCCTGTTGGCCAGCTGGGCTCAAAAGCCGTCCTCTTTCCTGCTGTAACTGCTTAAGTGCGTGCGCTCAACAACTCCAGCTTGATACGCTCAAGCCGCCGTGTCACCATACCTCGCACGCAGCCGTTCTACACGATGGAGAAACGAAATGATCGAACTCAGGTCTGCAGCGTCTGTCATGAGGGCGTTGAGGTACAAACCTCGAAGGACGCCTTCCATGTGGTGAAGTTTAGCACACGCAGCTTTCCAGTGCAATGTCGCCTGACTCTATCGTGCCGACAGCCAATGCGATTGCCCCTTCTGAGTACTAGGAGCAAGGACGCTACTAGGGGCTCCTCCCTGGAGTCTCTTTCGATCTCCAAGTTTCCTAAATGGTGAGGCAACACTCCCGATGCCGTTGTCCCATCTGCATCGCTCCATGCAAGCTGAAGAAGTGCCGCTAACTCACCTCACCCACAGTGCTAAAGGACTGCACCTACGGTCTCTGTTGGATCACACAAAGGTCACCACAACCTTGGCTTCTGAAGGCACCTGAAGATCGACAGCTACAGCAGTGGATGGATAATGATATCAAAGGTGCACACCAGAATTAAGACTTCCCTGCCCACCCTCCTTCTGGCATCAAATGGTTGAATCGAACTTGCACTTCAAATCAAGAATTGTCAAGTTGCGCAAAGCCTTCCAAAAACTCTCCAAGAGTCTGAGGCTAGGGTGGCCAGGGCCGAATTCGGCATTTGCAGCACCTTCAGAGTAAGAGTCGGTGAAGTCGCTTGCACCTGAAATCGCTGAGCGTGTCTCAACGGGTCCTTGAAAGCTTGGCATTGCTAGGCATTGAAAGCGCCTTAGCAAAGAACTCCGCGGTCTGCTGGATTTGAACAAGGAGGAGGTCTCCTTGGCGAACTACGATGGTGTTGCTCTCCAAATACCGACGCCATCACATTGGTCGAGGCATTGAGTGAACTAGGTGATATTGGTTGCTGTGCCAAAGACGGCACATGCCTCGAGGCTGCGACCGACTTGCACTTGCACTGTACCTGCAGGATTGACTCAACCATGTTGAATCTGCAACAATAAACCACTCAACTTCACTTACCCACCGACATCCTCCAAGTTTCACCAAGTACAGCTTTCAGATGCTTTAAGTGAGTAGGACGAACACTTTAGGTTGGAGGCCATTGCTACTAGGAGCAAGGACGGTACTAGGGGCTCCTGGCCTTACTACTAGGAGCAAGAAGCTACTAGGGGCTCCTGGCATCGCTACTAGGTGCAAGGACGCTACTAGGTTGGAGGCCATCGCTTGAGATGACTTTGAGATGCCGATCTCCAGGCCTTGGTTGAGTACTCGAATCAATCCGTCTGGAGCGAGGTCCAGCTGCACCTTCCCATGCTCTTCATTCAAACGGCTTCTATGCTATCTATGCTATAGATTTGTCATGCTCTCTTGCACATTGAACTGCTCAAGTGTCACCCAACCAGCCACCGGGGCATTTGAAAAGCACAAGCCATCACGGACCACGAGTGCTTTTTCACCTCCATTTCATCTGCAGAGTGTTGAGACTGCTGTGTTCTGCATCTATCTGCTGGGGCTTCGGTGCGGCACCACCCAGCTGGCATCAGATGACTTTCAAAATTACCGATATCTCTCACTGTCAGCCTGATCAGCTGCTTTTCGTCAGCTAACCAGTGAAATCTAGCTACCGATGCTAGTCATATGCATCATACGATTTGCCTGTTGCTGCGATTTGACGAAGCATCTGGCAGAGTTTTCATGCCAGGTGCATCCAAACCATGCGGCTCCCTGCTGCTCCGCACCAAAATCTCAAGTCACCCAGTTCACCCCCGAATTGCTCTTGGAGGTGTCTGCGGTGTCTGCCCCTGGCAGCATGTTCAGCATGTTCATGATTCTATTCCAACAAAAAAGTGCCAAACATACGTATCAAAACACGGTGTCCTCTTGTGCTGTTGTGTTTACGAAGAGTCAGTATCCTAGTGCCCATTTGGCCTTGCGCTGTGCATGTTGTGTCTCCAGAGTGCTCCAAGATCTCAGCAACCTCCCCACCGCTTTCTTCACAAGCAGAAAGGCTTTGCAAGAAAAAGGACAACCAGTTTGCAATGGCCTCCAACCTACTAGCGAAAGGCTTTGCAAGAATAATCTAAGAGTAGTTGTTGAAAAAGGAGATCAGAACATCCACGTGCAACAAACCGAGACTCAAAATGAATCCCGTAGCTCAGCCTGCGCACTGCACGCTCCGGGCGGCTCAGCAGAGGTTGGCTCCGTGGCTTTCGTAAGCGCCTCAACATCTATCTTGAGTAATAATTTAATATCCAAGTAATGAAATATAAGAAACTTGAGTGATGATAGAAAGCTCGACTGAACCAGCTCTTCCAGAATAGCTAGCCGCTGGCCACAATTAGTTTGAACGATTTCTCCGAAGTCGGTTCTATGTGTTGCGTTCGTGTGAAGCAGCTAAAACCCCCAAGCTTCCTCCGGAGTTCCTGCTGGGCTTTACGGCACTCCTGAGAGGGGTAAAAACTCAACCGAAATAAGTTAGCATTCTCCAAATGTTTCACTGAGTATGTTGAATCTGCTCTGAAGAATGGAAGGAACTGAAAGTCCAAAGGCCTCCAATTCCCAGAAAATAAACATATCCCGAACGATCCTTCTCTGCATGGCGTCTTGTAGATTGCATGTGCTTGGCCAAGAGCTGCTGCTTTCGACGGGCAGATTCCTCGAGAATGGCCTTGCAGCACACATTCCTCATGTCTCTTGGACTTTCGGAAGTCTAAATAAAATATCTAAGTGCCAAAATATTGTATTGTCAAAAGCCAAAATAAATATATCTAAATCATTCTAAATCCTTTTCTTGATATGCCAAAATATGTCAAATTCACAGCAACGCTCTGGCCCATTTCAGATCATTGGCTACCAAGGGTGGCACCCTGGTGCGCTTCAACTGGCGGGTGCAAGCAGCATCCTTCCCGATGAGCACTCTTGCGAAAAGACCAACGAATCTATGTTGCTTCACTTTGTTGCTGGAAGAAACGAATCTATTTCATATGTGAGCTTTGTTTCTGGCATCGCTATTAGGTTGGAGGCCTTTGCCATTAGTAACTCGAAAAAAATAATATATTGTCTTGTTTTGTTTATATAATTGTCATAATTTACTTTGATTAGTACAAGTAACTCTGTGTCACTCCGTGTCACTCCTCCAGAAAGACTTTCCAGTCGTCCCCTCGAATGCGCTCCCAGGCACAAAGCCCACGACGCAAATCGGCCTCAACACGAAACGCACCAAACCGGTGTGCATCTTCTTGAAGATCAGACTACTAACATTCTTGTTCCAAGCACCATTTGTATCCATTTGTCATGTCCTTTTCTTCCAATTCAAATGCTTTTTCTACCATGTTGGTACCATTTCGGAGTGTTTTCCATGTTCGAAGTCTGGAGGTCCCCTTCACGCCTCGTTGGCCGCGTCGTACGCTCGGGACGTCAAAGGTGCGGAGCCACCCGGCCGGAAGCTGATGTACAATCGGATCCCTGAGAACAAAGCGGATCGCACCGAACAACAAGGCGCAGTGCGCAGCGCAGTCGCCTGCGTCATCTGCGGAGATGTCACAGGTCTTCAGAGTTGCGCGAAGGACCTGAAAGTGAAATTCGCGAAAAGTCTGGCGAGACTCTTTGCTCCCAGTAGCTTCTTGTTCCTAGTAGTAAGGCCAGGAGCCCCCAGTAGCTCCTTATACTCTTTACTAACTAAATCTAATCTAACTAACGTCTTTCCAAATTTAGGGCTACAGAGCAGCTGAGGCAGCCTGAATGAAGGCCTCCGCAAAGTCTTTGATTGGGCCTTCCGCCACCTGTGCCTGGAGTTGCGGGTCAATTGAGCCAACGTTCTGCGCCAAATGGAAGTTGGCAGCGTGAAAGATAGAAAAGCGTGAAGTTTCATTGCTTCTTGTTACTACTAGTAAGGCACTTGTTTCTACTAGTAAGGCACTTGTTCCTAGTAGCTTCTTGTTACTACTAGTAAGGCACTTGTTACTAGAAGCGATGCACTTGTTCCTAGTAGTAAGGAGTATGGAATAGTATGGAAGATAGGAGGCCATCGCCAGAGAATCGTCACTTCGGTCACGACTTGTCGTCACAAGTGGTTGTGGATCGTGATGTCAAAGGATGGTCGCTCGGAAGCCCAACCTCCAAGCGCTCTTTCACCTGTGAGAGGCACTTGCAGAAAGGCAGAATGCTCTCCATACTGCGCAAGGAGCCTCAAGAGCACACAGGCAGGGAAGAGCACACAGGCAACTAGAGTGGCAACTAGAGTGGGACTCCTCTCTTGAAGCATCTACTAGCAGTTTACTTGTTTCTTGGTGTCTTGATGTATCTTGCACGGTTTGGAAGCCCGAACATGTCGCAGTCAAGCAACGAGACACAAGCCGCAAACCTCCTCAGCTCACCAAAGGTCTCGCAAGAAACATACCTCTTCGAGAAAGTTATTCATTAGTTTAATACCTTTCAGCACCTTTCATGCGTGTCAACTCAAACTCTTTACAACTCTCTTGCAAGTCTTCTGCTACAAATTCAAGAATTCTGCTAGCAGTCTTGAAATTCAAATTGAATAGCGTTCCTTTTCTGACGGTCGTTCCTTTTCCAGAGCGCGACCCGAGTTGTTTGTTCTGCCAAGTCTCGGAAGGCGACTTGAGCACGGAAGTAGCGGCCATTTTTTTTGCGGATTCACCACCAACGCGGGCACTTCGGCCCGAGTGGTCACAGTGGTCCTCATGGTCCTCGCTAAATGCGGACGTGTTTAAAGAACTCCTTCAAAGAGTGGTTTTACATTGATTTATTCAATATATTTTTTGTTGTCAATGTTGTTTGCCCGGATGAGCTAGGCTTCTTTTGACTGTCCTTGACTTTGGCAGCAAACCTGGTGTCACAACTCTGACATCACTGCAGTGGGGACGCTTGCAATTTGGATTTCGTTGGGCCTCTTGACGAGGTTTGTCTAGGCATCTTCGGAGTTGCCTCTGCCTTGCACAAAAGCTTCAAACTTAAAAACATCTCGTCTCTTTCCTGCCGGGCCTCAGCCTTCGGCTTGGAGCTCACTAGCCCCTGCATATACATCTCCTTGGAACGTGCATGGAGTGCTTACTTTGGTAAATCTTCAATAAGACGTGAATCACAATGTCCACTATAAGGAAATTGAAATCAATTACTGTATGTCGTGCTACGATCCGTATTTCAGTCAAGTGTCCAGTCTGAGCCGTTGCGGCTGGCTGAAGAGGTTCCGCAAGCTGCGCTCACGTTGTGGAGGCGTCATGGCTCGGAGTGTTGAATGCAAACTCTCCAAAATCTCCTGTCAGATCTGAAAAAGCAGGAGCAAGGACGCTACTAGGTTGGAGGTCATCGCTAGCTAGTAGGTTGGAGTCCCGGAGAGTGTCAAGTGGCTCAGAAAGACAGGTATCTATCTGTGACCAGCTCTTCTTGGAGACTGGAATCTGAACTCGCCTGCAATCGCTCTGCAAAGGTCCTTCGCATGCCTCTGCCTGGAAAGCCAAAGCGCTCCATTTTGGACAATAAACCGTCTTAAGCCTCTGTCTTCTCAGTTGAGACACGCGATATCACAAGATTGAGTTTTCGCTGCCGAGCGGCAGGGCGAGGCGATCTGACGGGCATTACTTCTTGCTTTTGCCATCGCTGGCATTCCAATCAGTCACGCGGTTTCAGCAGCGTAACCCTAATAAGGGTAATAATAACCTGAGAACAAAGCAACGCTACGCTGCCTTCAAGCTAGGTTCCCGAATTCCAAGATTGGATGCTTGGATTGGATGCATAATGCGCACACAGGATTCAGTAACCAGCCCCTATTAATCAATCCCAGCTCGACCCCCCCCAATACTAAACTAATTTCAAACCTGGATTTCCACCTTGACATCCCCCCCAATGATCCTTTCCTGGGCAGAAACATATGAATGGTTTACTTTAACTCTTTATAGTTACTTTCTTCTTGTTCCTTTGCACATGCTTCTTTACCTTCTTGTCCAACTCGTATTCCTATTCTTTACCTTCTTCATGAACTCCTCATAGTCTTCATTTTCTTAGAGGCTGGTGTCTTCATCTCCTCATCTTCCTGATTCTCACTTCTCCTAAGGGCCCATGCTACCAACCATCCCAAAGAAATCTCTAGGAAAATTATTGAATTTTTCCCGGTTAAAACTCTATCAAAATCCTAATCTTTTTAAGCTCACAAAGGGTACCCCTCACACAGTCCCTACCCCCCAAATAGTAGGACCCCCCTCCCCCTATTCATCAATCCCACCCTCTGGCCTCATTCTTGTCTTCCAATGCGTTCATCCTCTTCCAATTCTTCCCAATCAAAGAGAGTATCACCAAATGGTTTCCCAATCCCATGGTTTCCCCATTCAGTGTCCTTCTCGTCCAATCATCCCAATCAAACCATCATCCATCATCAGGTCCAGGTCCTCATCTCATCATCCATCATCAGGTCATCACCTTTATTAGGGGGATATGGTCCCCCAATACCTCCAATCTCAGACCTTGTAGACCTTGTGGTGTTGCCATTGCTTAGATATACACTAAGGCATACTAAGGCTTAGTAGAAGCGGTACTCTCTTGCTTATCCCTGAGGAACTGGCGGTAAGTGTAATAACTCAACCTGTGTCAATCCAAAGAATCCGCAGTTGCCGTTCATGGTTGGTGTGGCGATGTCCTGCTCAAAGCATGTCACTCTCGAGAAGTGTGAGCCATGAGCATAAGCTACTAGTAGCAAGAAAGCTACTAGGGGCTCCTGGCATCGATACTAGGAGCAAGGACGCTACTAAGGGCTCCTGGCCATACTACCAGGAGCAAGAAGCTACTAGTAACTGCATGTCAACCGTTCAAGGACGGTCCTTGACAAAAGTCATGGTGGCAAGCGAGGCCTTGGAAGAAGTGAAGGTCAGTGACTTTCAAGCAGAAAAAACAGAAGATTCGCATTTGTCTATCTATAAATATAGAAATTAGATATAGATATAGATATAGATAGATAGGTAGGTAGGCAGGCAGGTAGGTAGGTAGATAGGTGCTCAAAGAGTCACCTATGAGTCCTTTGAGGTATCAGAAATACACTGCGCTGGCTGAAGCTGCTTGAGGTGTGGGCGCTTTTTGGGACGCGTTCTCGGATTCTCCCGAGACAATGCTGGAGCCAAAAACAGACGTAAATGATGATCCCCAAAATGAAAAGAAACATCCAGGAACGAGAGATGCACTCCCCAATGCATCTGAATGAAGAAGTCAGATTAAGAAGAGAAAAAACTGCTTCTTCTCTTTCGCAGCTCCCCACCTCTCGATGCCAAAATGAAGTCTCTGACCTCGCGACTCGGTCGAAAATGCATCGACTCGGTGCTCGGTACTCATCGGTGTTTCCGTCCTCTCCCGCTCATCGAAGCGCAGCTCGGCCCTGTTCGCAATCTCCTGTTCGCACAGGGCCCTGTTCTCTTGTGAATCCCTCGAGGTGTTTCTGCGGCTTTTGTAGCCTTGCACAAGGAAAATGTTGGTTCGTCCAAGAATTGGAATATTGCTATCACTCTTCATCGTTCCACGTCCATATCATGCAGTGTGTAAGCTATTGTAACCAATTTGTGCGGCTGTACTTTGTATCCCTTCACAAGTTCGCAGAATGCCGATGAATGCCGGAATGCCCTGATCCCTTTTAAGGGATTGGAGCTGAACACCGGCCTCCAGTGCTAAGGCCACGCGTAGGCGGTGAAAATGAGCGCCTTTGGAAGCGTTCAAAACATGTGTTTTTGACTGTGTTTTTGACCCTTCTCAAGGAAAGGAAAGAAAAAAAGAAAGACTGGAAACCATGTTCTGTGAAATCTGATAACATCATTAAATTCACCCTGGTTGACCTCTGAGTTTGGCTCCTATCGCATCCTCTGCATGTTTGAATTCTGCAATCTGCAGGACCGCCCTCTCTGCACAGGCTGCATCGGGGCAGGCGGTGCATTCCTGGAGCAAGAAACAAATGCGACAGCAAACTTGCGACTGAAGCGAAGCGAAGAGTTGCCTGATCGTCCATGCGGTCTGCACGTTGAATCCTTGTAAGAGTGAAAGGTCTGCACGTGCTTGCCTGCAACAGCGCCTCCCAAAGAGGCCAGGAAAGTTGAGTGCCTTGCAGTCCATATTTTGCTGAAACAGCACGACGAACTCTGTGGAGATGTTGCAGCTATGTTGTGGCTAGGTAACAAGAAAGTGAAAGACTGAGCGCTGAACTAGGTAGCTGTACCGTTGTTCTTTGATGGAGCTGCCGCCGCAAAGCCTTAGCTAACACATAGCTGAAAGGAGCCACCTTGCCGCAAGTTTTTTGCAATTACTCATTATGCACAAATGATTTCTTACGTTGCTCGTACAAACTAAATGCATGAACCTGAAATCGAAGCAGGCACCAACTGAGTCTTGAAACGGGCAGCAAGATCAATGCAGCAGCCTCGGGCCACCTCAGGCTGAGCTTGGCGGCAAAAGGCGCAGAAGTGGCAGCAACGGTACTGTTAGATGTTTAGCGGTACTGTTCGTGGTTTGAAGAATTAAAACAAAAAAATCTATATAGATCTTAAAAGAAGGAAAAGAAGAAACATGGTCAAAAGGTACAAAGAAAAACAGAACATATATTGTAAAAACAAAGGTCTAGAGCAAAAAAGGTCGGAGGCTCTTGAGCTTGAGGTCTAGGCTCAGGCGACGAGAGGGTTCCAGAGGAAACTTTCATTGCCACCTGCAAGCAAATGTTAGCAGCCGGTCCATGAATCAATAGATTCTAAATAGATCAGAATCGCAATCAATGTCGGTTCCACAAAAACGACATCGTTTGGGAAATCTCCACGGCTTCGCCTCTGCACCACCCCGCACTACGAAGGTACCATCTGCCATATCGACGATCCCAACCTGCCAACAGGGCGCGGCCGGTCTCCCAAAAGGAAAAGGAAGCATGATAAGAACAAGAAGAATTCAGACCTCGTCAGCCCATGCTTCGACAGCTTCACGAAAAGTGCTGAATCCCCATATCTCCTGAATGCGTTCAAAACATCTGTGAAAAAATGGAAATGCCATAAAAAGCATGCCGTTTACACTATGGTCTCGCAGGAGCTTGGAAGAATAACCAATACAGAAGAGCTTATTGACTAGTACGAAGTTCCGTCCAGGGTGCTGAAGAGCTGTGAAGAAGCCCAACGTTCGTGCAAGGCCTCAATTCGCATTCAAAGTCACCCGAGTCCCGAGTGTCGAGTCATTCACAGACTGCATCCTGCTTGACGAGGGAGGCCTCCAGAGTGATCGTGATCTCCATCTCTACGAGTTCCGAGATGATTTGTACAAGATCCTTCAAACAATACTTGTTCATCAAAGTTGGAGGCCATCGCTCTTAGGAGCAAGGACGCTACTAGTAGCTCCTGGCCTTACTAGAAACCAGAAGCTACATAGGAACAAAGGGCATCGCTACGAACGGAGCGATCGGACGCTACGAACGGAGCAAAGGCCATCGCTACTAGTAACAAGTGCCTTACTACTAGTAACAAGAAGCTAGTAGCAACAAGTGCCACGCTACTAGGAACAGGTGCCTTAATGTAGTCCTCAGATTAATAAAGACCCCTAGAATTATGTCTTTTTTTTCCCTGCACTGATTAATAAAGGCCCCTAGAATAATGTCTTTTTTTTTTTGAGGGGTAGTTGTAGTGGATTTTTTTTTTATTGTTATAGTTTACTTTTTCCCTTTTGAATTTGCTGGGATTTGCTTATCTTACAGGCTTTTGGATTGAGATTTCTATCAAACATTTGGAGATTTCCATTGAGATTTGATTCTTTTGGAGGCTTTTGGATGGAGATTTCTATTGAAAATTTGGAGATTTCCATTGAGATTTGATGCTTTTGGAGGCTTTTGGATGGAGATGTCTATTGAAAATTTGGAGATTTCCATTGAGATTTGATGCTTTTGGAGGCTTTTGGATGGAGATTTCTATTGAAAATTTGGAGATTTCCATTGAGATTTGATGCTTTTGGAGGCTTTTG